TGTGGTGTACTCATACTACGCTTCTGCACATCTTTTTGTGTAGATCCAGGTACATCTTACCAACTTAGACGTTAGTGAGTTACCTACGCACGGAGACTTCGAGGTATATCTATCAGCGTCCGCAAACTCCGGAGTCCCCTTCTATCATTTTTATGTTTCCTTACTTTTCTTTAGACCTTGATATATAGAGACATTGAGAATAAATTCTTAGAAACTTGTGACTTATTTCTACCGGGTTTTGGGAGTTGAAATTGTTTGAATTGTAGTTTAATTATTTCAGATATTTATTATTATTCCGCATTGATAGGCTTACCTAGTATTAAAAACTAGGTGCCATCACGACATCATACAGAGGGAATTTGGGATCGTGACACTATTATGCAATGTGACGAGGAGTTTTGTATGTCCAAAATTCTTATACAACGTGATTATATATGGACTTTCCCATTAATTAACTTCAAATTAAAATGCCTGATTTAATTATTTGGCAATTTATCTTTCATCGCACATGTCACAAAACTTTTCTTAGCATATTTCTATTATAGTAAACTCTACGTTAATTAACGTTAAATTAAAATGATTAATGCAATTTCTTAGCGATTCACTTTAATGTAATCTCTTAGAGATTAACCTTATAAACCTTTAGCGAATTTACTACCTTATAAACCTCTAGCGAATTCACCTTAATATAATCTCATAGAAATTTATCCGGTACGATATGACCCGTATGACCAAACATCTCTTAGCTTATTTTTATTATGGGAAACTCTCATTTAATGAACTTTAAAACGCTTAGTGCAATTCCTTAGCGAATTCACCTTAATGTAGCCCTTAAGCGATTCATTCGCTATTATGCATGTAATCAAACATCTCGTAGCTTGTTTCTATTTATGGTAATTTCTAATGCTAATGAGCTTTAAATTAATGTAATCCCTTAGTGATTCACCTTAATGTAATCCCTTAGCGATTTATTTTAGTGTAATCTCTTAGCAATTCACCTTTTACTGCGCGTATAACAAAACATCTCATATTTTACTCCAATTGAGAATTATCATTTCTCCAACATAAAGATCTTATTGTTGCATGCAAACTTTTTTTAACCGTTTTCTTTTTTGAGTTCAATTTATCATATTATACTCAATTTTGTGATTGTTGGTAATCGTCATGTCTAATATGAAAGTCTAAATTAAGTTCCAATAACCTAATATTTAATAGTATAAAGTGAAACTATTATGTTGACAGAGAAATCTGAATATAATTAAACAAATTAAGATTTGACAAGTTTGTGGTTTGGTGAGTGAGTTGCAAAGATGGCTAAAAGTGTAACACAAATAAAGTAGGCTCTAACCTATTCTCTTCTCTCCTCCCCTCACCTCATCTACACATCCGTACACGTAATCTTTTTTGTACATGCACGCACATACATACAATTATTTCACCATATTTAGTTTTTCCAATTTGTCCTTTTTTTTCCTTTCCTTTTTCCTCTCATAACTTATTTTTCGCCTTTTTTTTCCATAGATGATTCTCTTCTCCACTTTCCGCCACATTGCACACAACAACTTCAAAGATCTATCATCAATGTCGATACTCTCTATCCTTGCACTCCAAAATTAACCCTTTTTTTCTCCTCTTTAATTTTACTCGATATTCTGAATTTAGGGTTTTTTCCGCTTCCGATTCACCTCAGATCAGAGTTGGAATTGCATTGTTTTCATCATATTTCGTGACTTCATGGAAATTTAGGGTGTTTTGTCGACTCGTGGAAACTTGGATGAATTTTTATTTTTTATTTTTTTGGGAGATTGTGGATTGAGAAATTGTGTTAGGGTTTCGATTCTCTGTTTGCATGTGTAGAATATGAGGAGGGGTCCTCTGCCGTAGCATGGAGGATCCCAGAATTGGGACTTTTTAGAAAATTAGTGGGCATTGGAGGCAGATTCTGTATTTGGATAATTTATTAAGTGAAGTGGAAATTTAGGTTTTCTGAAGGTAGTTTTGTGTGAAGTATAAATCTCTGTGAAGGGGGAGATGTTTGGGTCTGGGAGTGATAGTGGGCAGAACCATAGTGGGGTTGGTGCAGGTACTGTTTTGATGCCAACGCGTTTTGTATGGCCTTATGGGGGAAGAAGAGTGTTGCTCAGTGGCTCTTTCACCAGGTGAGGAGTTGTTGTTCTTTTTTCTTTGTTATTTTTTATTATTTTTATGTGAGAAATTGTCTTCTTGGTTGAAATTGAATATGGAGCTATGCAGGTGGCAAGATCACATAACAATGTCACCCATGGAGGGCTGCCCAACTGTGTTTCAGGTTGTCTGCAACTTAACACCAGGGTATCATCAGGTTTGTGTTATATGGAGTGTTAAAGCTGGTAGTATGTAATTTGTGAAGCTCCTTTGTACCTTTCAAACAAATAGGCTACCGTGCTGACCGTTAATGCTTAGTAACGTCATATTTAATGATGGGCTTTTATGAGCTGTTATTCTGTGGTGTGAGATTGTCAAACGGTAACTTCGACTCAAAAAGCTAGTTCTTTTAATTTGTTTGAGAGATGAATAGCGAGGTTAGATTTTTCAAAGGTGAAGCATAGAGGCTATTTGGAAATTAAAATGTGTCTTAAGAGCTGTTTTTTTCTTTGACGTGCATATGAATAGAAACTAGTCTTGTAGCATACAAACTCATTGTAAGCATACCGAGGAAGAAGATGGAGCTTTAAATGAGTTGCTGCCTATATTATATTCGCAAATAAATCTGCTTATGTGACTGATGAGAAAAAGATGTAACTGCTTATGAGGGGGAGGATTTAAACAAACATAGCAAAGTAGGAAAGTGGAATGTGAGTGATTGACCTATAGAGTTTCACAATTCTATTACTAGTCAGATTGAATGCACTCCTTTTGGGCTCGTTACGGGTTTGAAATTCGCCACAAACAAAAGCCTGGTATTTAAGTGGAGAAGGCAGGCCCATTATCCACCGAGTTTTGAACCGTGCACTACTGGCCCTCGGGGATTTCTCGTTTATTAAATAAAACAACTCCTTTTTTGGCAAGTAATATTAATTGCAGAAAATGAGGCAAATGTTACAGCATAATCAGACATATGCTTCTAGAACTACATCATAGTATTATTAGACACAACTTCCAGCTAATCAGGAATTCCCAACTCCTAGTTACTTTTGATCTTAGGGATCAACTTCCACTATCTCAGCCTGCTGAATTGTGAAGAAATCTTGCAAGCTGTGTGCTCAAGGAAAGCAGCAACCCCTTGTTACCGTTTACTTGTCCTCTCAGTCCACAAATGTGCCACAAACATGGCCAGGGCAAGTTTAATGTCTTATTTGGAAAAAAACTAAATTGTTCATTGCTTCATACATGCGAATTTTATGAATGTGGCTTTAAGTACAAATATCCTTCCAAACTCTATTGACTAATTGCACTTGGAAAATAAGACGTTTAGTGTTTCAGGAAGTTGAGGCAGAGGCGCCAGGATTCATTCAGGCCCCAAGCTTATAATCTGCTGAGGGTAGAATGGTTCCGATGACGAGCAAGCCAAAGGATGAATGCCCATCTACAGATCCTTATTCTAAAGTTCTCATAATAAAATTCAACCTACATGCCTACTCTTATTATTCAATTTAGTATCATAAAGTTGGTCCTATCAATACCATTCCTCAATTTTCTTCATGCAATGTGTTAGTCTAAATATTGTCCATGAGGAAATCTATAAGCAAGCCTGGAAATCGGATGAGTATGCAAATACGTAGGAAAAGTAACATGACATTTATGTAAGAGTTCATTCTCAATTTTTATTTTTATTTTTATGTAAGAGTTGAAAAAGAGGGTTTTCAAGACCTATAAGTGAAAGCTGAGTTGTAGAGTGAAGAGAGCCTTAGAAGAAAGAGAAGAAGGCGGCAGAGCACTTATCGACCATTGAGTGCACAGAGTGGCAGTGGTACCATTGGAAGGCAGTGGCGGAGCCACATGCACTCAAGGGGTGTCAACTGACACCCCTTAGTCGGAAAATTACACTGTGTAGTTAGGTAATTTTTTTAAAATATGTATATATACTATGTATTGACACCCCTTGACTTCTTGGTGAGTTTATTTCCTTATATTTTGACTCCTCTTAATGAAAATCCTGGCTCCGCCACTGTTGGAAGGGGAATGAAGAAAGGGAGAAGCAGCATTGAGATAGAGAGACGGAGAGAGGGGAATCCATCTTTACGATGTTGAAAAGAACTGAGTAATATAAATCTCATTATGTTAGAATGTTCGAGATTCATTCTCTGTGTTTAGGTTAATTTTTCTGATAACTAAGTAAAATTTCATTAACTGCAACGATATTGCTAATATGACTTATTCTAAAAAAATATGCTAATATGTACTTCTATGTGTTTAGGTTAATAGTATGTTATATTTTGATTTCTTACCAATATCCTTTGATTTCTTTCTAATATTGATATCTAGGTAAATTTTCTTATTTAATAATTTTCCTGAAAAGGGGAAGATGCTTTCTTTCTGCTTATTCCTTCTTCGAGGTCATCCAGATATCGATATTGCAACCAAAGTCTTGAAACTAAATTATGTCAATTCTGGATCTGGAAGTAGAGTCAGCAGGTCTTGCCAAGTGAAAGTGGCTCCATAGAAGGAGATCAATTAGCTCCTGTTGATTTATGGCGTCAGACTGTTAGAAAACTTCTCCAGTGTAGGGTATAGCTTTTATGATCAGTAACACGATACGGAAAGTTATTCCTCGTGCTTTTTTATTCTTTTGAAATGGAAAACCACTTGAGCTAGAGTCCATTTTTTATTTCTCATGCTTTTCATGGGTGCTGTGGAGGGTTGGAGCTTGACCTTTGATGCTTTATGTTTACTTTTAGAGCAGTCAAAATGCACTTGTGTAGAAATTGGATGAGTTTGAATGGGAAAACAGCGAATGTTTATATAGTTGTTGTCTGAAGACCTCTCTGTTTTAGAATTTAAAGACTAATTCCTAAAAAAGAAAAGGTGAAGTGGAATCTTGGTATGTAAAGGGTGATGGTTTTGCTCTCCCACCCCCTTTTTCTCTCTCAACCTTGGTCTCTGGTTGCGCCGGAGGGTCTAGACTCATATCAGTGAAAAGTTCAGGAGGACTTTTTGCACATGCAGTTTCCTCATTGAGTATTGTCTGATCATATTTGATAATGCTTATGTTTGCTTCTACTTCACTTTAAAAAGGAGAAAGTGGAAGCAATGTTTTGTTGCAAGTAGATTATTTTCATCTCATTTTCCCTCTTAGGTTGATAGATAAATTTTTTAGCAGAAATGAGTTTACATTGTTTTCTTTTTTCTTTCTTTTGGATAGCAATATTTCCCCTAGCATGGTTTGACATAGTTGAAATGATTATTATATGAAAGGACTAAACCTTCACTTAAGTTCGATTGACATAGTCAATGAAAACTAAGATCTTAATAAAACATTTTTTATTAGTGCGATAAATTGATGTGCATTTTCACTTATTTGCAGTACAAGTTCTGTGTTGATGGAGAATGGCGTCATGATGAGCATCAGCAATTTGTAAGTGGAAGTTATGGTGTAGTCAACACAATTTTCTTGCCCAGGGAGTCCGATGGAATTCCTGAGCTTTTTAACTCAGATGTTCCCGCAAGATCTAATATGGATGTTGATAATGATTTTCTTCGTCTGGTAAGAGGATTAACATTGCTCGCAACTAAGATGTTCTATTAGCTGATGCATTTGGCTCCTGTCCTGCTTCACTTGTTTTCTTGAATTGTTTCATAAATCTTGATACTCTTTCTCGCCTTTTTTTTGCTATTGCATTTTCTTTTTGTAACTCATGCTGATATTCAACAATACATTATGGCCAGGGATTTTGTAGATAAGATCTCTTGGAAAAGGAATATATTCAAACTATCAAGTGGTCTGTTTTTCCTGATATTGCTCCGTGAAATTGATTAAAAAAGAAAAAAAAAATTGCTGTGTGACTAAGTTCCCTTTTTCCCAACTTACCTTCTCTTGTGACATCATTCGTTGTTGAGGAATGTTATGTATAAGTTGAAGCTATTTGTGAATGTAATTGCTGGTCCTGGGAGATGAACATTATATTTTTGCAGTAATTTGAATTATTTTTCGTTTTTATTTTTATTTTTTGCCAGTTGGAGAAATTTAAGATTTTTTAAGTGTTTGAAAATTTACCTAGTGTATTGGTATTAATTGCGGAGCTTTGATAGTCAACGCCCGGGGATTTGGCATTTCAACAAAGAAATCTCAGCATTAACTGTCTTTTTCTGTAATGTAACCATCAGATATTACCTGCAGGATGCAGTTCCACAGATATCACAGGCTGAAATAGAGCTATCTCGTCAGCGTATATCTGCATTTTTGTCTACTCATACTGCCTATGAATTGCTCCCAGAGTCTGGCAAGGTATCTATGCGCTGATGCTGTCTATATTCTCTGCTTAGTTCTCCAGGATAATTGACGAGAAGAAGTAAACATTCTTTTTTTCTTTTTGATAAGTTAAGATGTAAAAGTTCCTTGTCCTTTCTTCTATAGGTTATTGCCTTGGATGTAAATCTTCCAGTGAAACAAGCTTTTCATATTCTCTATGAGCAGGTAAATACTGTTACACATATTGAAGACATGCTGTTATAGGCTGTAGTTTCTTGATTATTTATATTCTGTTTAAGATCCGGCTTCCACCCGACGGATTTTGTAGCTAGTTGTTTAGGCAATCATAATGAACGCAGGGGAGCGAGTCACTCTGTACATGCTCGTAGTGTTTGTCACCTTCGAGGACTTATAAATAGTTTTATCTATGTAATTGATGATTATTAGGAATAATGAATTTGTATATTTAGATTTCTAGAAGTAATCTATGCCAATCCTTCCTGTGAACTTGGGTACAAGTTATCCACTCTACCAAGGAGTCTTAACTTGGTCAAAAGAATATGTTTCATTGTTTCTACTTACTTATAATATCTTTAGTAATCCTTATAAAAAAATATTATCTTCTGTAACGACATTAAGGGGCCATTTGGTTTGTCTACAAGTTATACATGAACTTTAGTATAAGGATCGTGATATGACAAACAATTTGTATTTGTTAATTGTTATTGGATCAAAATATGGATTGTACAATATATAGTCTAAATTATGCTTGTTTTTAAAATTAAATATTGATTACCCTCATTGTATTTTACATTACTTTATCCAACCAATTTAAGCTATAGGTTATTATATAATTAAAATTTTATAATTTTAAATGTTTAATTATTCGATATGGAGCAATTCTTAGAGGAAATTTAGAATTAGGTAGATAAAATATGGGTTAACTGAATACCTGAATGTTGCATCATCAGTCCAACAATTATGCCTCAATTTGAAGCTAATTTGGATCGATTAAAGAAAATGGAAGNCGGTTACGTGTTGAATGGTATAAAATCCCTTAATAGCAGTCTTCCAAAAACAACCGTAAGTGGAATACGTATTTATAAAGACAATAACATTACTTATGCTATATTTTACTTATCAAAAAAGAAGAAAAGAAAAACAGACTAACATGTTGAAGACTTTATTGGATTTATATGCCATAATGCCATTTGTACACTTAAACATTGATAGTGATTGTGTTCAGTTTTGAAACATTTGGACATTATTTAACTTTTTAATTGCAATTGTAGCTCTTGCTTTCTTCACTGGTGTGAATTGTAAAGGAGTTTTTATTGCTGTTCATTTCACTAAGTAACAGCTTGGATTTGCTGACATCTGATTAAAGCTTTTCCCAGGGAATCTCTGTTGCTCCTTTGTGGGACTTCTGCAAGGGTCAGTTTGTTGGAGTTCTCACTGCAATGGACTTCATCTTAATCCTAATGGAGGTAAGCACTACAGTAATTCCTTCTCTGAGGATATTGTTTATTGGTTTCACTTTGGACTTTGCCTCATGCCTTCATCTATATGTGGAGTCATCCTTGAGCTTTACTTCAACCTCCGACTCTGCGCACCGTCTTCTAGAAATCTTTCCTGTTTGGTTCTTCTTATTCTTATTCCTATAAGATGCTTGATTTAGGATTCGATTTATCTGGAAATTTTCCTCTTTTCCTCCTCAACTTCACTCAATGAAGTTATAAATTATTTGAGCTAGATAAAGCATGATGAAGATCATCAATGACATACTTGTAACTGGTTTCACGGCATATTCTGGATAAGCTGCAGATATTTGGTTCTCAGTTTCAATTTGATTATACCTCAAGAAATTCACTAAAGCAAAGTGTGATGAAGTTGGTTGAATCATTGTCTACCCTTTGACATTCATCAGTTGGCAAAGTTTTTATCTTCAAACAGGAAAATCTGCAAAATGTGGTCAAAGGAGCAACGGGGCTAATTTTACTGATGGAAAAAAGAGCAACATGGCTACTTTGTCCTTTCCGAATTGAATGCTCTGTTCTTCGTTTTGGCGCTAAGACAAATCAACATTCACTATCCTGAAATCAAGTATCTCACCATTTATCATAATACAATCAGACGTTTGAGCCATCACACTTTCAGCTTTCAGACATCTAAGTGAATCAAAAAGTTCATTACCTTGTTTCTGAATCAGTTGTCATGGAACAATCTGTAATTTGGACTTCTACTCAATAAACGATTATATTATTCTAGAAATTCTGTAAAGTCAACCCGAGCAACTTACACTGAAAAAGAGGCATTATTTTATTCTTTCAATAGTAGGTGTGCTATGTGTGGATATCCTGGAGGACTATTATCCTGAGTGAAATCTTAGTATTTCTTGTCTGTTGCTTAATGGTTTTACTGTTTTAGAGGGGAAGTCAAGTATGTCTCTCAGGGTTCCATTTCAAAAGAAAGTTCCATTTTAAAAAGTATATCTTTTAGGGTTCAAATATATGGTCCATATTTTGTCAGCTAATTTTGTGCAGTTTCTTTCCTTCCCCTTCAACTTTAGGGGACTGACATCGTTCTTTCTTAAATGAACATAAATGCTAATATGTTATCCAACTTCAGCTTGGGAATCATGGATCTAACTTGACGGAGGAAGAGCTCGAGACACATACCATATCTGCTTGGAAAGGGGGAAAGATACGTATCAACAGGCAAATTGACTGTAACTTGAATTCATATTCAAGAAGTCTTATCCATGTAAGCGAATTTCGCAGCTAATCATTCACAATAGTTTCATCATTTGTCCTGTCATTCACTTATCATGTTGTTGTTTTCCTGATATGGCCCAAAAGGTACTGGGAGTTGTTTAACTTTCTATAAAATTATCGGAGTACCCTTAAGCTTTGCTCCCTCTAGATTCATGAGAGCCTTAGAAACTTTTGAGCTCAGTCTGTTTGAAACTTTATTAGGTTGAATATCGTTGATGTTTGTTGTGGGTGAAGTTATGTGGATTGTTAATTTAGATCCGAATTGATATGGTTATTGAAGTCTCTAATACACTACTGCTTGTAGCATTAAATTCGTTTAGCCAAATATTTTTGTGATACAAAGTAACAAAAATTTGGCTTTGGTGTGTGTAAATTACTGAAATAACATCAAGCGTTGAATTTTCCCGAATTTGTAAATTTTACGCGAGTATCATATCTGATTTACAGAGAGACTGCTATGCTTCCTGCTAGCATTTTTCTGACAAGTCAGTCTTTTTCCTCTAAAAGACTGTGTTTTACTATTTTTTAAGTAATTTGAAGCATATGCAGTATTTGCTGATATATTGCCAGGAGCGAGGAAACAGAATTATGAAATGAATTAAAAGAGAAAGATTCCATACCTATGGAGTACTATCAAGAGAAACAGAAATGCCTGCCAGAGTGTGCTTTTAAGTGGTTCACATGTAGCATAATCTAGTTACTGCTGTAAAACAAGCTTCTAGCAGGCTTCTGGTTGAAAGTTTGACTTCAGAGTCATGAGATGCACTGCGAGTTAGGTTCTATGGTTTGGGTCCTGATTAGCGTGTAACCGTTTCAGGGACAAGCAGTATTAATCAACATTAGGCGGAGCTGCTGCTATTGTCTGAAATCTTACAGCCACATCACTTGAGTTTCTCTTCTGTTTTGAAGAATCTTCTTTTCAATTGGGGGTCCTTTTTTGCGCCTTTATTTGTTCTTTTATCTGTAGATGTGCTCGGGAAGAACTACCTGAGCTTCTTTCACTTGTATTCAACGTCTTGCGAAGCGATGTTGGAATTGTGAAATTCGAATTATATCTATCCTCTTCCATCTAAGTTCTCTAACCTAAATAATAATTTTTGACATTTGACACACTATTGAGCTTAATTGTTATGTTGCTTTGCCTTTCAATTTAGCTTCTGCATATCCCTGGCATTAATATCTGTTAGCTTCTGCATCATGCAGGGTGGGCCTTATGACTCTTTGAAAGATCTTGCTTTAAGACTTCTGCAAAATAAGGTCTCAACTCTTCCCATTATCCATTCTTCTTCACCTGATGGTTCATTTCCTCAGCTGCTACACCTGGCCACCCTTTCCGGGATTTTAAAGTGTAAGTTACTCTTTCACATGCTGAATAAGCTGTTTTGTCTAAGCTAATTTCTAAGAAATGTCCAGGTATCTGCCGGCATTTTAAACATTCTTCTAGTTCCTTGCCAATTCTTCAGCAACCAATTTGCTCAATTCCTATTGGTACATGGGTTCCACAAATTGGGGAAGCAAGTGGAAAGCCAGTCGCCATGCTAAGACGAAATGCTTCTCTTGGTGCTGCTTTATCTCTATTAGTTCAAGGTGATTCTTCCTGTATTATTACTTTTCAGAATCATTAGTTGAAGCCAGGATAGTGTTTGCTATTGTGGTTTTCTGGTTTTGTCTTCTTTTTTTTTGTTTTTTGTTTTTAAGGTTTCTTTTTGTCTATTATTTATTTCTTAAATAACCTTGTTTTCTGTTTTTTTTTTCTGTAAGAACTTGTACAAAAAGGAGGAAAAGAAAAGTTTGATTAGTGAATGAGAAAGAAAAATCACTCAGACATAAAGCTGTTCTATTTCAGATACTTCAAGCTAATAAGATTAAAGACCCCAGAGTTTTTGTAAATAGAATAACAATATGCTAGTAGAGGTCCCAGATCCCAACTCTTTCACTCTCTCGAGTGAAAAGCAACAACAGTGACTGATACATGAGTTGGAGTCCAACACTTTGGTTTTGTAACCCAAATACATTACATGGTTATAGACGTTACTCTTTTAAGATATTTACCTCATATGCTAACACCAAAGCCCCATATAATGGTTCTGAATCACTCAGGTGTTGAAGCGCATAGTGCTGGGTATGAAGTAAACAATTTGTACTGCAACACTTACCAGGTAGTAGTCAAAAAATAGATCAAATGCTCCTCACATCATCAGAGTTGGATGAAGCTTTCTTGGTAAACGGTAACTGTAGTGGGTCGTTAGTACTTCATTTACAGTTAAGGACCAGCTGAGCTTCATTATTGGGCTCAAGACTAATAAACAAAAGATAATAACAAAAAAATGTGGGGACTTTTCCCAGTATAAAGTCGCTGAAGAAAACCTAACAGTAGCTATCTAGATTTCAAGTTCTTTGATCAGAATGGGTTCAGAATAAAACACAGAAAAGAGGTCGGTTGAGGTTACAAATTAGTCACCTCTCTGTTGCTTCAGTTTTCCTGAAAAATGAGTGATGAAATAAAGTCCTCTGTGAGATAATATTATGGTCCATTGCAAGGTATGGGACTTGAGTCCCACCTTAATAGCTAGCTTTTGGGGTGTGGTTCTCCCTAGGTTGTATCAATGGTATCGGAGCCACCCACCGTCCTCCGTGCCCACCGTGCCATGGATGGTGACGCCGGTATTGCAGTGTTCGCCCGGGGTTAGTAAAGTCTAGCGCACAGCCATCGGGGACGACGGATGCGGAGCGTGGTGGTTTGTTATGGTCCATTGCAAGGTATGGGACTTGAGTCCCACATCGGTATTGCAATGTGCTGATGTGGGATTTATATAGCCTTGGGCTCTCCCACCTTAATAGCTAGCTTTTGGGGTGTGGTTCTCTCTGGATCAGAGCCACCCACCGCCCTCCGTGCCCACCGTTCCATGGATGGTGACGCCGGTATTGCAGTGCTCGCCCGGGTCTAGAAAAATCTAGTGCACAACCGTCGGGGACGACGGATGCGGAGCATGGTGGTTTGTTATGGTCCATTGCAAGTTATTGGACTTGAATCCCGCATCGGTATTGCAATGTGCTGATGTGGGGTTTATATAGCCTTGAGCTCTCCCATCTTAATAGCTAGCTTTTGGGGTGTGGTTCTCCCTGGGTTGTATCAATGGTATCAGAGCCACCCACCGTCCTCCGTGCCCACCGTGCCATGGATGGTGACGCCGGTATTGCAGTGATCGCCGGGGCTAGAAAAGTCTAGCGCACAGCCATCGGGGACGACGGATGCGGAGCGTGGTGGTTTGTTATGGTCCATTGCAAGGTATGAGACTTGAGTCCCACATCGGTATTGCAATGTGTTGATGTGGGATTTATATAGTCTTGGGCTCTCCCACCTTAATAGCTAGCTTTTGGGGTGTGGTTCTCTCTGGGTTGTATCAGATAATAATAAGATGCAGTAACTAAAAATCATGAACCGAAATAGTACACCTTTAACTTAATAAAACAGTAGGAGCAAAGTCCAACAACTACTTAAGCTCTTCTATAGTCTGTATTTTTGCAACAATATTCTTCTCCTGAATCTCCTCTATTTAACACTTACTGTAAAGGGGGACTAGGGCATATGAGTTACAGCCTAAAAGTTTAGAGTGCAATCAGATGCCATGGAGAAGCTGTTTGGTTTCGTTGCTTAACTTCTTTGCTTTGTTAGATGTGCGAACTTTTCTTTTAAACTCAAAATTGTTCCAATTTACTAGTAACTGCTCAGCTTGCCGACAACTAGGACTTACGTGAAGCATTTTCATAATCCAGATGAGAGCCTTAAGAAATTTTTGCTCAAACTAGGTCATTTTTTTATGTTGACTTTGCCATCCAACCTATTCTTTATTGTGTATTACAGCTGAAGTTAGTTCGGTACCGATTGTGGATGATAATGATTCCTTGCTGGATATCTACTCTCGAAGGTAATTATCTCTATGTGAACCTACCGGGTAGCTTTTACGTTGTTTAACCTTCTTACATATTCTTTTACTATTACAATACTGGTTCAACATGATGTGCTTTTTGTCATTTTGTGACAGTGACATTACTGCATTGGCAAAAGACAGGGCGTATGCGCAGATCCATCTTGATGAATTGAGTATTCATCAGGTAAACATGTTAAGAGTTATTTGAACTACAATTTTAGATTTCTTTGCTGGGATGGGACCTCTTTATGTATGTTTATGTATGTACATATCAAATTACCCTGTTTTTTTTTTTTCCTCCAAATTTCCCCACTATTTTAGGAATGCACGTACAGTCCCATTTGTTAGTTTTTGTTCTCTTCACCATCTCCTTAATGTTGAAGGAAGAGGTGGATCCTGATTCCTGAAAGATGGATTCTACTAGAAAAAATTGAGGTAGTGGGATCTTCATTGCGCTAATTGGCTCCATAATAGCTTAAATTGTGATGATTTTGACCTGAGCAGGCTAAATATATTCAGGGAAATACACACTGTCTGGTCTATAGATCCTTTTGATCTTGCCCCCAAGGCTTAGTTTAAGTGGCAAGGGTTGAGGGAAATGTGATTAGGTCACAGTTTCGAGCCCTACACCATGCAAAGTTGGAAACTAAGCCTGGTATTTAAGTGGAGAAGGGTAGAGGGGTGGGTCCATTATCCCTGAGTTTCAAAGACTGCGGTTGGTCCTGAGGGTTGGCCACTGACGGATTTCTTGGTAATCAAGAAAGAAAAAAAAAGAGATCCTTTTGATCCTTAATTTTAGTTGTATTGAGGAATTTTCGAGTTGATTGCATCAAGGTTCTGTAACATTCCATGGCCTGTGAGAATAGTACAAGTTTACTTGTTTCTAACTGTCCGCATTGCCTACCTTATGCTAAGGCTGTCCGACGGGACGGGACGGGATGACCATTTATCCCGTCCCGCATCNTTATGAATTGTCTTACACTCTTACTTAGTTACTTAATGGCTTGAAATTATATTAAATAAATTACTCCTAATTTTAATATATAGTTTTTGCGCATCATTTTAGTGCTTAATTTTTGTGTTTACTTTACGTGTTCTATTTTCGTATTTCATTTGTGTGTTAACTTTTTTAATTTAATTTTTGAATTTTTTTTTATGAATTGTCTTACACTCTTACTTAGTTACTTAATGGCTTGAAATTATATTAAATAAATTATAACTCTATTATAAATTTATAATTACTAGAATATTTCATTACAAGTCTTTTATTTTAATATTTTATAATTCTTTACTTAGTTTCCTAATTTCCGTTTAACTTTTAAGTTTATTAAATAAGTCAAAAAACTAGCCGTTGCAAACTTTAAAAA